CCGAGAAGGATATTTTGATGATGCTGAATTGAGGTATGCACTCCGCATATAGCTAAGCAATTGCCTATATAGCCTAGTGCCTATACGGCGTTTTCCCAGTCCCTCTCTGTCAATTCACTTCCTCGGTGACGTATCCGAGGCGAGCGTACCGAAACGCTTTGGCCGCGCAGAATAATGAGGCCTAGGGACTAGGCAAGCTTAGCAATAGGTGTCTTCAATTAGTTGGCGACCGGCACTTAAAAGGTCACAGGATTAAATTGAAACCGTGAAGTGTCAAATCTAAATAAAGTTTTTTTTTGTTTTTGTTTTTGCATTTACTAAAAAAATCGTTTTACTGTTCTCCCCGGGATTATCAGGCAATATCTGTTTCTGAGTTCTTACACTTTCATTCTCATTTCTTGCCTACAATTGGATCCCTTTTGTTGTTGTAAAAATCAGTATTTAAGCCCTGGAGTGACATTATTCGGATGAATGCATTGCCTTGATTGGTTTGAAACACTAAACATAGGTGTGTGAGTTTTGCTTTTATGCTGTTTAGCCAGGGTGGAAGTGGCGTTTTCCATGTCAATCTGGTTTAAGATGACTGACAAAATTTTCTGTTTTGACCTACATAAAATCTTTTCACTTGCCCCTGCTGATGAACTGAAGCGGTTTTTTGGTCACCGGTCATTTCGCCCCGGTTACTTAGCCCCCATTTCTAGAACGAGGAATATTATATTTGAAGCGCGCTTGTTTTGCTTTATGGCTTGAAGAACGAGGAATATTACATTTGAAGCGCACTTGTTTATTTGCTTGTTTTTTCTGGTTATAGAACGAGGAATACTACATTTGAAGCGCGCTAAATGACTGGAAATAAGAAGCTAAGTAACCCGGGCGAAATGACCGGTTACCACTGAAGCTATACCTTCAGAGTCAATTTAACACGCTTAGAACCAGTGAAAGAAGAGGATTTAAGTTATCTAGGGTGAACTTAGTGGAATTTAAGACTTTTGTTGGTAAAAACTGTACATCTATTCACCATTGGTAGATTTCTGGAAGCCATTGAGAGGTGCAAAGATTGTGCATCATATCATTTTCTTCTCGGCAAGTTGTACTGGGAAATGAATGGAAATCTAAGAGCAGACAAGAAGAAGTGCCTTGCTCAGTTCTTGAAGGTAACGGCTGCCTGTTGCCCTTTTTTACGCACTTTGTCACAGCATATCCTTCTGTTCTTTCCAAAACTCTGACACTGGTGATCCTAAGTATAAAGCTTTCTAGTATTCCTCTTTTATGGTTCTCACGTGATCTTTCCATTCTCGCAAATTTTCCCCGCCGGCCGCTCTAATTCAACTGACCCCATCGTTCAACAGACAGCGGTCTTACTTTAGAAAGCTGGTTTACTAACTTAGAACAAACGCCACTGAATCGTACCCAACAGCTACCAGCGCCGTACAAACGACTTATTGACGAGATCAAGCAAAACTAACTACGAGAGAACAACTGGAGAACTGACAATTTGACTAACAATATACGACTGTTTAACTGTGACAGTAAACGGATCGAAACGCACCAATCACTGATTACGAGTCTTCATAGCCAATGACATCACGGCTTAACTGACAGACGACCAATAATATCGCGACATAATTGACCAATCAGATCAATCAGAGTATAATACCATCAACTGACGTGATACAACTCACTTTGACTCTGAAGATGACTACCGCACAGGTTGTCGAAACGTCAGTCACTGTCAACAACAACAGTCCTATTCAGGACTACGTTCACCCGGACGATCAAACTCAACCTACTTTTGAAGTGACTCCTGGGTTCAAACCCCGGGGTACTCCCATACATTACCTATACGGGTATGTGCCGCCCTGGTGAAGCTCCTGGTTTAGAACGGGGTATCCATTTCAGAGGCGTTTTCTTGAACGGGGTATAATATCTCGAACGCACGAAAGCTCCAGTTTTGTAAGAAGCCATTTGAAATTATTCAAGGACAGATTGCTTTTAAAAATACGGTTCAATGCGTTAACAAGCAAACTGTTATGCTCTTGTTGCACCCCAGAACGGAGTATTAAAAATTGGCCCACTTCTAGAACGGGGTATAAAACATTGGCCCATTTCTAGAACGAGGTATCAATTTAAGGGGAAATTTTTTTAAGAACGGGGTGCCAATTTGGAGTCCCGGGCAGCACATACCCACCCAAAAAATACCCAAGTGGCCCCCCGGGGTTCAAACCTTTCACAGTCATTCAAAAGTTGTATCAATAGCGCTACCACCGGGTAAATCACTATTCAGCGGATAAGTGTCAGGGAAACCGGTTGCGTTATCCAATGGATAGAGATTTATCTGCAGGCCCGGGTTGTTCAAACGTTGGATAGCGCTATCCACCGGATAAATCGCTATCCAGCGGATAGCGTAATTGACTTGCGTAATACTTATCAGCTGGATAGTGATTTATCCGATGGATAGCGCTATCCAACGTTTGAACAACCGGGGCCTGATGGATAGCGTTCTCCGCCTTTTGAGCAACTGAGACCAGACTGATAGGCGCTATGCACCTGATAAATTGTATCGTAATAAATTGTATTAATAGCGCTACTACCGGATAAATTACTATTCAGCGGGTACGTGTCAGGGAAACCAGTTGCGTTATCCAATGGATAGAGATTTATCTGAAGGATAGCGTTCTCCGCCTTTTGAGCAACGGAGACCAGACTGATAGGCGCTATGCACCTGATAAATCGTATCGTAATAAATTGTATTAATAGCGCTACTACCGGATAAATTACTATTCAGCGGATAAGTGTTAGGGAAACCAGTTGCGTTATCCAATGGATAGAGATTAGCGTTTTCCATCTTTTGAGCAGCTGAGACCAGGTTGATAAGCGCTGCTGCTATATCCACCAGATAAATCGCTGTCCAGTGGAAACTACTGGACAGATGTTTGTCTAATGGATAGTGCTATCACCCTTTTGAGCAACTGACGCGTATTCTTTTAATTGCTCTAAGCCCTGTAACCATTTCTAGTAGCATATCCGCCGATCCCTTTTGTTAATCCCACATATCTTTTTATTCCCATAAATCATTCCAACTCATCTTCTACTGTGTTTTCTTGTGATTTAAGTTGTCTTCAACTATTCTCATCTGTTCACTTTTTGCCGCTATTCCCCTTTGAAAATGTTAGTGATAGCTACAACTACAATTTGAATAACCTGGAGACGATATTTTTCAGGCAGCAAAGCTAGACCCGTACCATTCACCGTCATTTCTGTACTTGGGACATTACTATCTTAAAGTTCTCAAGGATATCAGGTAAAGTGATAAACAAGTTTTATTTAAATTTAGTTGCGTTTCAATGAGGCCAACTGAAAAATTTAGCACAGTAGAAGGTATGAAATTAACTTCTTGCCTCTTTCGCAAGCTCAGCCGATTAGAAAAACATTTCTCACCCACTGAATGCCATTTGTCTGCCACACAACAATGCAAACAGCAATTTAATCACAACCATCACAAAAATTTTACAACAAAAAAGGAAAGAATAGAAAAACCTTCCTGAACTTAATACACTAGTCAATCTATCTCACATTTTTTTGAACTAGCAAAGGGCGGGAGCGGGGGAACACTGTTGCACTGTTTGGCAAGAAACAAAACTGAATCACGTGAGCACGAAAACTGGTACCCTAAATTGTAACTCGTGCCCAGGTTCCATTCAGTGTGAGAGAACTTCATTTCTCTCCGTTTTTCACGGGGGTTTTCGACTACAGATAGAAATAGTAACTTCCATTTATAAAGTGTTGTTGAACCTAGCGAAGTTTCTTTGAAAGTCTATAAAGATAACTACAATACTAGGTCAGGTTTCGTTGAGCCCGGCCACACTATGTTCCATGTCTACTTTGCAATTTAACTTGCACCTTAAAGAAAACGACCAAGGAGATAATTTTTCCCCTTCAAAGTTTAGAGGAAGACTCAAAAGAAGCACAGAATGAAAGTAAGGTACAAGATCAGAGCAGGTGCAAAACGTTCAGAACTGTTGCTACAATGCAATTATAATCCTCCGGGTTTTATGGGAAAATTATTTCTGAGGTCATATTATAGTTGAACACAGAGACATGCTGACATGCTGACACGCCGAGACAGTGGCTCAAAGACATGTTCACACTGATAAAACGCTCACAACCTGACATGCCGACGTTTTCACATGTTGACATGCTGGCAGGTAGTCATGTTGGCGTGCTGGTACGCTGACACTGACCTGCTGAAACGCTTACTACCTGACGCGCTGAGACGCTGACATGGTGATATACAGGCTTGAAGACACTCTGACGCTTGTTGACATGTTGACATACTGATTCAGACATGTTGATGCTGACATTCTGACATGCTGACAAGCTATTGTGCTGACATGCAGACGCCCTGAAGACACGCTGATACTGACATTCTGACATGCCGATATGCAAACGTGCAGACACGCTGATGTTTACACGCTGACCGTCTGACAGGCTGACGTGTTGACATGCAAACGTACAGACACGCTGATGCTGTCATTCTGACCGGCCGACTTGAAGAGACGCTGACACGTGGACATACTTTCACACTAAAATGCTGACATGGAGACATGGAGACACGCTGACGAACTAATATGCTGCCTTGTTGACACACTGACGTTGACAAGGTACCGTGTGAGTGTGTGCGCGACACTGAGGTCCCTGCTGCAAGTGTGCAGTCACCTTCACCTTTTAACACTATCAACTTCGAGCGGTTCACTATTTTTCCTGAGGTTTGTGGTTCCTCTCTCACACGCCTAACTATTTCGAGACTATCAACTTAAAGCGGTTTACCATTTTTCCTGAGGTATGTGGCTTACCTCTCACACGTATAATTATTATCTTTATTTCTAGCAAAGCCAGTAGGTGTTATCAGAAAGCATTTGATCTTGATCCAAGCTGTGATGATGCTGGAATAGCGCTGGGTGATTCCCTGATGGAGCTAGGGCAAGAGGTACACTGATATGAGTCCGCTGAGTGGATAAATGCGTAAAAGTGACTAGTATTCAAATAATAGCTACAGAATATAAGCGTAATATTTCAAGTAACGCGTCTATCATTAGACTGTTATTTCAACTTTGTCCTAAAATATGGCCCAAATTATCAAGAAGTATGTTAAATATGTAAACCAGCCCAAACGTTTGTGTCTGTATTATGCAACTGAGTAAAAAAGTTAAGGTGTGTCTACTCAAGTTGTCTTGTTTTCAGGTTTTTTAAGTATTAATTGGTATCAGCCTACAATTACCCAGACAGTGATATTTATTTTCTTGCAGGTTGCTGCGTTGAACCTTTACAAGAACATCACAGCGATGTCTTCCCCTGGAAAGTATGAATAATGTGTTAAATTTTTGCTAAAAAAAATGCATAATGGTTTTTGATATCAGAGCACCACATTGACTATGACTTGAGGAATCAAAGAAAGATACGAAGAACTCCTCGGTCCGTAGCTACAATCGGCGACAAAATTGTTGAGATATTGTCCTCAAATGGGGTAACTTCGAAGAACAAAATAATCCACCCCCCCCTCCATTCCAAGTTGGGGTGTTTGTTGTTTTCTACAAGAAGCTCAAACATCGGCACAACATCAAACAGCGGCCTACAACATTAACCGCCCTGGGCGCTAGAGGGACCTGGAGAGGGGGGGGGTGGGAGGAGGCTGGGCGCTTTTAAATTTTCTTTTTCCTTTTTTGTTTATTTTGCAACAAAACAATAAAAGATGTAACAAGTTCCTGTAAAATACTTTGAAGAGAACTCCGTCTTCAGGAAGTCTCTTATTAGGCCCTTTTTTGCGGTGGGGTGGGGTTGAGGACGAAGTGTCTCAACAAATTTTGTCGCTGATTGTAGCTTCCAAAACCGTCACTTTTTACCTTTTTATAACTCAAGCGTGAGAGAAAGGAACCTATTTCTGTTTATTAGTTGGTTCAGGAAGTTTTTATGGGTTATGCGACATTTGCCAAGAATATACGAAGACATCTTTTTGTTTTGTGTTATCCCGATGCATGTTTTTTCTTCTTCTAGTAGCCTGAGAAAGCAGCCGGCATTTCACTGGTGTGTCCGCGAAATGACGTCCAAGGAAAGACAGCAGAAGTTCTGTACTGATGACGTATCACTACCCAGATCTAGGTAGTGCTTCTGATTGGTTAAAGCAAAATTCTTTCGCGGCACGTCCAATCAGAAGCACCACCATGATCTGGTACTGACACGTCATCAGTATGGAATTTCAGCGCTCGTTTCTCAGACATCATTTCACGGGAATCCGGTGGTGACATCGCAAAATGTCAGCTGTTTCCTCAGGCTGTTTCGATGATCAGAATTTTTATTCTGAGTAAATCTCTCTTGGGTGTTGAAAAGGAGATCCTGTGTGTACTATAGGAAATTTCAAGCGCGTGACATTATTTGACTACAGCTACCAGAATCCTTCAGTTTGTTATTTTCATGTGTATAGTAGACTGCGAGCAGTCTTATTTTTTTTTAAAGTAAGAGCACGCGACGCTCGCCGCCCATGGCTCTGAGGAAAGAGCTCGCGGTCTCTGTGTAATTTAGTGCTTTTGTTATATAAATCCCAGTGAGATTGATAAATTTGAATATGAAAGGAAAAACCAATATGAATTCTGGTAATGGGAGGGCGTAACTTGAGTGCTACACTGAAATTCTGAAGTGTTTGCGTATACATATTTCTAGTTGTAATAAATGATATGACTGTTTATATGTAGGGGTAAATGGGCGTGGCTACGGCTTGGATTGTTCCACTTAAAACACAGTGAGAGCACAGAGGCAGTCACCTGGTAAGTCTTGCATCCTCGGCATTATCAAAATGCTTGACTGGTCCACTACTTGTTGTTAGGCGAACATGTTTGCCACCTAGTTACATAAAAGGCAGCCATGCTCTCCCAAATGTGATAATGTCATTTTATCCGTACAAACACACGGAAATGTCGAACGTTTGTGTGTCTTGTCCTTCCAGTATAATTTTTTTCTCAAAGGGCAAACAATGATCTATCTTTTCACTTGAAGTAAAAAATAGGTATGTATTGATATGTGATCCATACGTCACGTAGAAGTCAGTCCTGCACCCACTTGAGAAAGTATGTAGCTTCTATTAAGTCGTAATGGTTTCACCACGGGTCTCCTTGACAAATGTTTTTCTTAATTGTCATTCCATATCACTTGCAATTTAATCTACAAAAAAGTAAACCGAAGCTGAAACTGGGATGTACCGTAAGGAAGGACAATTTTTGATTCAGTAATGATTTACGATTGTTTCCTCTAGCTTCCAGAGTGCACTACGTGCTGATCCCAAAGATAGGTACAAGCTCTTTCTTCTTTAGTTATTCATCTAATTATTTCTTTGACATGTAACAGAAAATTAGGCAGCTTTTGGTAATTAAAAAGCTTCATCGATAGACTCGTTATAACCACCTTTCACAACATAACTAACAGCACCGCAGGAAAATTTCTCAGTAATTGTCATTTGAGTGGTCCCATTTCTATATTTTATCCACAGACTCAAAGTTAGAACCATTTTGATGTTTCAATCTCTGTAAATTTGAACTGAATGGCCACATTTTGGAATTTTACACAGACTCGAAAGTTCGAACAGCTTTTTTGATAAACAGCAGTGCCACAGTCATAGTTCATCCGGACAGACTCAAAATTTGAACCACCCTGTGCAACTTACTAAACGGTACCACGGAAAGGTACAGTTCAGTTGCATTCAATCATCACATTTAAAGATTCCATTTACAGACTCAATAGCAAGAACCACCTGTTTCAGTATAGAGCATCACAGAGGATTGCTACTCAGTAGCTTTCATTTGAACGTTATTGGACTGTTATTTTTTATTCTATGTTTTTCTTTTTTTGATTTAACTTCAGACATTGTTGGGAGTGTCTTGGCGAAGCATACATGAGCCGCGGAAGTTACAATGCTGCTATGAAGGCATTCAGCAAGGCAGCTGAGGTTTCTACTTCTTTATGCTTTATTTTTTGAATATGCTCTGTTTTCTGCCTCCTTTCCTGTTAATCTAGATTAAGAACTCAATACAAATTGGTTCTTTTGAGGGGCTGGCCGTTTATTACTCGTGAGGGGGACGGGCCAGAAGATTTTCAAATCGACCCCCACTTCAGGCTTAGTTTTTTAGACATGACCCCCCATACATTTTACATATTGTGAAAGTGACCCCCATCCGATTGTTGTGGAAATTACGAATTTTCTAGAAACAAATCGTGCCGAGGTTCACTATAATCTATAATGTAGTCCGCCAACCTGTTAGCTTCGCTGTAACAGTGCCAGTCTGACCCCGGCTGAACCCACATCAACTAGGGTCTTAAATAATCTGGTAAGATTGATAGCTCCTCTCGGTTCAGACAATCACGTCATTGGGCGGTGGTAAAAAATTTACTTGAAACCGTTGGCCTTGTCTCCTTGAAAAACCCATGGTACTGTTGGGACGTAGAGACTGCAGTCGTGGCCTATCTGACTTGCGCAGTAATTGGTCTTGACTGATTGGGTGAGACTATACACATTCGCGTTCCCCGAGCTGCGATCCTTTTTGCCCAGCGCCACGGATCGAATCGCGAACTTCCGGCTCTTCAGCTCAGCCATGAACAATTGAAAAAGTAAACGTTACCAACGGTTTCAAACCTGGCAGATATTGCGCGTGCGCGTTGTCCTGGAACCAGCCGAAGCTCTCGATCCGAGGCGCTGGCCTAAAGGATTGCAGGTCTGGGGACGAAAGTTGATCATATATGGACTAAAGCTATAGCAAAGCGCGCCTTTATATATAGCTCTCACCGTTCATCTGCCATGGTGTAAAATGGCTCCCATTATTATGCTTACAGCTTACTACATACGATTTGAATTCATTCTCTTTCAATCCGCAGTTTGACCGTTCATCCGTATACTGTCTTTATCAGTAAGTGCAGTTTATTTTGATAACTTCCACCTCTGAGTGTGGTGGCCTCCATGAAAGCTCTAGAAAGAAATGACAACTGCAAATGAAAGTTTTGTATTACTTCAAACAGACAAGGTTGCAGTAACGCCTTTTTGTGGAGGAGATTTCAGTTAAAGCGCAACATCAGTGAATCACGAGTATTACGCTTGTTTTCAACTGCCAATCCTGTACCTACATGCCATGTTTTAGTCAATCTTTTGTAGCGCGGGAAACTTGCGTGAATACGTCATGATTGGATTTATTATCTGATTTATGGAGGAAGTAACGCGAGTTTTTTCAGCCAATCACCAAGCGTAAGGATACAAAAGAACGCAAAACCAAAACAGTCGTAAAAAACGATTTCTCTTGTCGTTCAAATATACCCGGTTTTCATATAAAAGATTTTTCACTTTGCCTCATTTTGAAAGTGGGAGATTTTGAAAGTTGGAAATGAAGGCCTTAAAATTCTCTTGATAATCATTATGTTCATTTTGTCTTGAGGTTGGCGGCCATCAAGCAGCTGTTGTGTGTTTATGATGAAGCTATCAAGGAATACAAACTCATTCTGGAGATGCAGCCTGATTATGTCCCGGCTTTAAAAGGTTTGTTTCTATGCCAGGGCCACTACTGAACATTTTTTTACTACTAGGAATGCTTAAAAATAGGCGAGGCTCGATTTCCGCTGCTCGTTTCGATCATGGGCTCATTTCGTGAACTACGCCGGGCTTGAAATCAAGTGTACTAGTGCGCTGGATAGTCATTTATCAGGTGAATTGTGCTATCCAACGTTTGAATAACCGGCTGCAGGACAGTATTTTATTTTACATAACTCTGTAATATAACCACAGTCTAATGATAGGCCAGCTATGATGGGTGGCCAAGCTCTAAATGGATTGCTTGCACACTGCAGTGAACTTGACTTAAATTAAAAACAAACGTCTTAGTTACATATACCAAACCTTTGACGCGAGTGGTCTGGTTTTGGTAATAATCCGAAGGTTAAAAACAAACAAACAAACAAACAGCGAATGAAAAAAGAATAATGCAATCATTTTCTACGCCGGTAATCTTTTATTAGGCTTGCATGTTTTATTGCAAAGTTAAAAATCAGCCAGAAATGAGGCTGTTATGTTTGAACAAGTTGGCAATTTTTAATAACTGCTTTGTTTAGTTATTTTGTTGATGTTTTTAACGCACCTTATTAAATGCATTTAGGTCTCGGAGAGACATACCTCAGTCAGGCGCGATCAGCCCTTCAGAAGGACTTTAATGGTAAAGCTGTGGACTACGTGATTAAAGCTATCACTGTTTTAGCCAGGTGTGAAAAGTTTTGGTTAGACCATCACTCGCGATCGACATGTACCCTTCACATTTACCAGTGCGTCTAATGCTAGCCTCCCGCGCATACGTTCTTAGGGCGTCGTCACACGTTTCTGTCCCCTGTCCATAGGTCAGGAACGCCTAAAGAAGTCCCAAGAACGTCAGCGTGGGAGGCTAGTGTAATGCCTTATTGCCAAGTTTTGTAATTCCTCAAACAATGCATCGCAGCCTGTGACACAACAGCGACGCAGATGTAGCCAAGAAATTAATACTTTGAATGAAATTTTTTTGCTCCACAGAGCGGTGCAGTGCAGACCTGGCCTTTCCTGTCTGTGGAAATTAATCGGTGATTGTTGTACCGTTATTCACCCTGTATCTGATGACTCCATTCGGTGAGAATTGACGCACTTTAATTTTAACGTGGATAAGGTCTAGACGGGGAATGGTCATAAAGAACCGTTGGATTGGTTGGTAGCCTGCTAGCAAGCTTTCCGGAGCGCTCTAGCGGCTGCCGGGTCGAATGTGGCGGAAGGGCCCAAGAGAGCTTGCTCGCAGGCTGTTTGGTTGGACGAGGGCCTCAGCTTCGAAGACAATTGTGAAATTTGAGGCTTTTTCGCAGTGAGAGGCGCTATCTGCTAAAAGACACGTTACTGACGTTCGCTCTGTATTCTTTAGAATTTTGGAACTTTGCCATTTTTGTTTACTGATTTTACCCTTACTAGCTCTTTTTTTTCTCAGAATCCTTTCGGCCCTTGCCTTTGAAATAGCGGTAGATTATAGACTTGGGTCGTTTCGCCCTCCCCCCCTCCCTAATTGTTAAATGAAAGGATCTGTAATTTTATCTTATTTTGACCCGTGGAGAACCACTCGTCGTAACGGCGTTGCTGCATAAATCGCTGTGAATAAAAGTGAAAAAGGGCAGTCCTCTACTACATCTTTTACAAGTTGTGCCACTTTTACCCGCCGAGAAAGTTCGTTCCATTTGATGTTATGTGGTGCTTTTCCTTTTGTTGTAGAGGAACAATTCCAGACAACCTGAAGAAGTACATTAATGGAGAACCTAGCGAGTTCAACGACAAGAAACAGCTTCTAGCATTAGGATCAAGGTTATTCATATGAATCTCAACCACCCTTTGAAACACGTGTTATATTTCATTTTCTTCAAGACAAGTTTAGAATATGTACATTATACATAAACTGTACCTCTGAAGCCAAGGACTTCACTCCATCGCTATTTTCATAGACTTCAGTTGCTATAACATTATTACATGCTCCAGGCGCCGATCGTTCAAACGATGGATAGGCGCTATCCATCGGATAAATCACTATCCAGTGGATAAGTATTAAGGAAACCAGTTGCGTTATCCTGGCACTGGATAGAGTTTATCCAGGAGGTGGCGTTATCCACCTTTCGAACATCGAATCATCGAATCATACCAATTGCCAGCACAAGGACATAAAAAAGTAGCCCTGTGTCAAGTCAGTTTATCGTGAATTATTGTAGTTGTTGTTGTTGTTTTTCATCAAAGTGCTTATGGAAGAGCGTTGAAACTGCAGCCCGAATGTGGAACTCTGTGGGGTGACTTAGGCTTCAACTGCTTTCAGCAGGTTAAGGTAAGAAAAGGTTTGGCTCGTCCTCGGTGTAAGAACCCTTGAAGCACACGAGTGTCGTAAAATAAAGGAAAAAAAGAAGTCAACACAATAAAACCAGGGAAAACAAAAAGTGCGAAACAAAGAAAAAGTTCACAGGTTCTTACACCAAGGTAAACCCAAAGGTTTACTACATATCGACCACAAAGTTCTAGTGTCACCACAATGGCAAGTGGGAAACTGGAGGCAGGTAGTTTTGACCCCTATTTTAGATTAGTGGAAATGTTCCTCAGATGTCTTGATCGTGGATCGCTGTATGATTGAAATGGATACCGTCTTCATTCCGGATCAGTTGAAGTTCCTGGGTAACTGACCACTTACCCCTCCCCTAAGTCACAATTTTGCCTTAAGTGGAGGGGTAGGTGATCAGTTACCAAGAAATCTCGATTGATCCCCATCATCCCTTCCCATTAGATGTGTAAGATATTCTGAAAGGTTGGTCTAAAGTTGCTCCAAATCGAGCCATCAGGTGCTGACGTAATTTGGGTTTTTTAGACGGAGTTTGTTCTCCTTTACATTTTACTACTTGAAATGGCACATCTTTCTTTGAAAAGACTTCCTCCAGCTTGTACTTTTATACCTGCAGAGGAACTTAAAGACCTTCTTCGTCACTTTAAAACAACCGCTGACCAGTCTGGATAACATTATAAGGGTCAAACCAGAGGGCGCCAAACTTATTAGAAGCAAACCCTTCGCATACATCACGCCACATTGTTCAAGTCACGTCGATATTGTCAAGTTCTTTTGCTGAATCCTAAAAATTCAGTTGATTTTCTCTTATCGATGTCCAAGATTGAAAGCCTCAAAATAAGTTTGATCAACTGGTAGATTCTCCTTTCAGTTTCTCTTATGTTTGCTAATGACATTTAGGACCCATTCAATTTATTTTTTAGAAAGGTGTTAAACTATAATCTTCTGAGCATTTTAACCAGCCAAACGGACTAATTTCCACGGCACCGCCCTTTTATCGTTTTTTCTAGATTTTAAGTGGAGTTGACAGAGAGAAGATGGCCCACAGGGCTCTTCAGGTAACACATGTATTTACAAATCGATACAAAATATACAGAAGAGTGAAGTATTATCTTTTTAGAGGAAATATGTCGGTGTTGCTTCGTTTATAATTCTTGTTAATTCGTTAAACAGGCGCTGAAGAAAGGTCTAACTCTGCAACCATCTAATCACATTCTGTGGAACACTTTGGGAGTGGTGACAGCTTCTAAAGGTAACATGTAGTGGGAACATGTGGGACATGTAACTAAGGTAACATGTAGTGGGACCCACCTACGGCAACATGTGGGACATGTAACGAAGGTAACATGTGGGACCCGCCGTAAAATGTATATTCAACGTAACTTACTGATCTTGTACTAGCTGGTTTACTGGTTGATAACTGCTTTGAGTGATAAATTGATTGATTTGCTGGTTGACAGGTTGACAGCTTGTCAAATTAATTGATTGGTAGCTGGGTGACTGATTGAGGGGTTGATTGAATGCATTGGTTGATTGATGGACTGACGGATTGATTGATTGGTTTGTTGATACATACACCGTAAAATACAAAAAAAAAAAAATCGAAAGTCAGAACGTCTGTTTTGTTATGCAATCCCTGTTATGTTTTATCGATTTATTTTCTGTCTGATTGATTTTATCTGGACGCCCTTTCTGTATGTCTAACGGTCTGGTCCAGACAAATTGTTAACTTCCGAGTTCCGAAAAAGGAACAAATGTGGTTGAATAATTAACGAAATGTTCAAAGATTAGTTGATTATTTTCATCCTCGTCAGTGTGTCTCTCTTCAGTGTCTCTGGTGCTAGGCCAGCTACCCATTCTGTTCAGTGTATTGACAGTGTGATTTCCATTTCCTATTAGAAATCAATAACCCAGACCTGAGCCAACACTCTTTCATCATGTCCATCAAGACTGAGCCAAATGTAAGTAAAACTTTTAGCGTTTTCCAACAAACTTGTTATCACTTGTTCAGTCAAGATGAGTACATAAAAAGCCAACTGTTTTCGTCATGTATCGACCAAAGAAAACAAAGCGTATATCCAGCCACCTTGACTGATCATATTTGCATGGCCATCACACAATTTGTTGTATGGCATTAGAAATATTTCGTTTTTAATCAAGGAGAGAGAGAAAACAAAAACATAGGGACCATCTACTAGAGGCAAGAGACCCTGTTCAAAGCGCAAAACTCGCCATATTAACATTACACCGGCATTGCCGGTTCCATCCATACAGTGAAGGTTTACACGGTTGGGATAGAATGGCTGCCATCAAAAGTACCTCCCATATGTTGTACTTTGGCACTGAAGCTTTGTGAACTACCGACAACAAACACCTTGGGACGTCCTTGAATGGATTTCCTGTTACCGGATTTTAATTGTTCATTTTAAGTCTTGATACTAGAACGCAGTAGTAAAGTTAAGTTGTTGTTGTTGTTGTTGTTATTGTTGCTTTTGTTGACAGAATGTGATTGCTTGGACAAATCTGGGAGTCTTGTACCTGAAGCATGGCAAGATAGAGGTGAATGGACTTGAAGCTGATTTTTGATATTTTAAAATGATTTATAGTAAACTATTTCATTGTCCTAGCGTGATTTTAGTTAACCCGTGAAATAGATCGTTGACTACCGTAAATGATCGATTAAGCGCCGCAACTCGAACGAACGCTGCTCTCGAATAAGCGCCCCATCTTTGTTACGGCGCTTGATGTAAAGAGATATCAGAACCATATCGCTTGAGAAATAAGACCACGACCGACTCATGTGTTCTAATGTTTTAATGTAGGGAAACTCTTGAAACTGGGTTCATAGAACAGTTCGAGGCGTACATATTTTATATTAAATGGTGCATACCTAGTACGCGCCTCACTTAATTCTCTCTATATTCCCCTCAGTGTTTTACCCCTAGTTGAAATAAGTGCCGGTCTCGAATAAGCGCTGTATCTTAAACAGCGAAAATGAAATACGCGCCGCGGCGCTTAATCAATCATTTACGGTACTTGTACTACGCCGTATTACTTTCTGATTTCATTGTTTTCTCTTGTTTTCTATTTGTAACTAATTGTTACTTATTGTCTCTTGCAACTAGAATGATAATGCGCTTGTTATGTTAATAACGTACACTCTTTCCTCGTGTAGGTTGCTCATGAAGCCTTCAAGAATTCTCAAGCGTTAGATCCATCTTACACGGCAGCATGGATTGGTCAGGTGAAAACTCTTCAGCCAAAGTGATTTTGTTTTCTTTTTATTATCGAGCTCTGTCTACTTGTGAGAGTTTTTTAAAATATTTTACTCCAGTTGAAGTTTGTGGGAACTCGCATAAGGTCATTATAGGTATGACCTACTTCAGGGAACCACATGCTCTTGACGTGCTGCACGGTTCATTTTGTTGAGATCTTAAAACTCTCCAGGTGTGGCAATAAAACGAAAAAGCAATGATACGGTAAAGAGTGTTTTCACATGACGTCACGGCGGCCATATTGGTGTTTCAAACAATGAAAAGGGGGAATGTTGGTGTTACAAACCAATCCTGTGGGAGTTAAACTCTTTTACAATGTAAATGCTTTCTATTGTTCCAAGAAATTTGCATAGATGCTGGCCACGTGAGTGAAAACGCCCTATTAGCCTGAGAACCCTGCCGAGGCTGAGGAACGAGCGCAGAAATTCCATACTGATGACGCGTCACTACCCAGATCTTGGAATGTTTCAGATAAGTCGTGTGGCCAGGAAAATTTGCTTCAACCAATCAGGAGCACTACCTAGGTCTGGGTAGTGATTCGTCGTCAGTATGGAATTTCTGCAGTCGTTTCTTCCGAGACTTCATTTCGCGGGGAAACTACACATCACATCAGTCCTATCATGGGTTGGGTGGGTACAGTAAGCTCATAAATGGACTGAGAGCGGCTGCCAGTGGCGCCTCTGTATGCTGACGTCCAAGCTTACTGTTCGCATGTTAATATATAATGTAGGAGGGAACGTCTATTGCCCTCTCATCCATGACTCCTTCCTTTCTTCGCGAAATCAAATGTCGGCTGTGCTCGCTATGATGCAAGCTTTCAGTAACTTTTGTTGTTCTGTGGCGCAATTTAGTTATTGATTTGTGGTATTTGATTTTAATTTTAAGGCCACCATTGCTGAGATAATTGGAAATGAAGAAGCCATGGACCTGTATAGGCACACAACAGAACTAGGCTCTCACGTAAGAAACAACTCTCCTACAGTGTGAGAATGTGAGATATTTCTCTTGCACAATTTCTTCCAGCTCAAGAAGTGTCGACGATACATTAGTAATGCATAGAGCGATTTTCGTATGACACCTTGAAATGAAAACGCGCAAACGAAACAGAAACAACAAACTAACGGAAATAGAGCGATTTGATTGGTTTATCGAACGGATGCAAACCCGCGTTGCTTTTGATTGGTTAAGCGAACGCTCGGGTGATAAAACTTCGTGCTCGAGAATTTTCTGGAAGTCAACCAATACTTCGCTTTGACGTCATACTGCAACACGACTGGCCAATCGAACAATGCCTTCTCCATATTAGGGTTTTCTCTGGTGGGAAAACGAAGAGGCCGTGTTTTCATCTTCCCATCCATTGGCTGATAAAACAAATAACGAACACTTACCGAAACCATTTTTCAAGGTCATACGAAAATCGCTCTATTCCCCAATTTTTAAATTGAAGGTTGAAGGAAGCATTGGTTTTGCACACTGGGTTTGCTCAAGCCTTTTATCCCACGCGTCATCTGAAAATCGCGTGATACTCAAAGGAAAACCTCTGCCTACTTTGTCTCATCTTCACCCTGAGTACAGAAAAGCTGTTTTACAATCAGCAACAGCTCTCAGTAAATACACAGGTAACAATATGAATTCACATCCAATAGTTAGTGGTAAAAATCGCTAAAATTTCAAAAAATGTTTTGTAGTATCCCTAAATAAGTAGTGATGCTATGGAAAAGTTCTGCTAGAGAGGTTTTATTTAAATGCTAGCATCATAGGACTTCGTCCACAGAACTTATAAGTTAGAGGTACAAATCATCTCGCCAAAATCTGATCTGGGAGTGAAAGGGATATGAGAAGTTTTCACTGCACAAGGCGGTTTGGACATTACGCACATTTTCCTCATTTTTACTGATGCAATTTTTATTAACACTCTATTATGTTGAACTGGCTTCTCCAGGTTGTGCACAAACACCACAAGCTGGGGCGAAAAAGTTTCATACCTGGTACCCCTAACTTAGGCTTTCTGTGAAATGGGCGAGTCTTAATTCCTTATTTGGCCTCAAACCTACAGTTCTGTTCTCACGTGCCTGCTTTATGTGCTGCTGATTGACGGCAGGCTTAAGAATACAATTTGAATAGCCCACGTTCGATATATTAAAAATTCTAAGATGATTCCGAGATCTTTACAGTTTCGTTTCTGACTCTTTTTCAGATCGAGTAAGGAACAACGCTGGTGCCTATAATATGTATGGACTTTTGCTGGAAAATCAGAAGCTTTTCCACCAAGCAGAGAAAGCGTTCGATAGGTTGGTGATTAAAGGAAGTCTCAAAAAA